AAAAGTTCAGTACTCTAGCCTTCTAGTTACCTAAAAAGTTCAGTACTCTAGCCTTCTAGCTACCTAAAAGTTAAGTACTCTAGCCTTCTAGCTTCCTAAAAGTTAAGTACTCTAGCCTTCTAGCTAACTGAAGGTTCATAGTGGACAAATCAACATATTGGAAAAATCAGACCTGTTAAGAAAAACAAGTGTCTTTCGTATATCTTTTAGGATATATTTTGTCATACCATTCTTTAATGCTGGAGTCTGCTTGCATATTACATTTAGATGTTTTATACATTGTACATTTTAGCACACTCATAAATATATAATGAAATCAGGAAATATGGCTCTTTGAAATAATTAAATATCGCATTATTAGCAGACATTATAGCTACAATCAGACACACGAAAGATACACGTTTTTCGTGAAATGTCATGAAAATGGAGAAAAAAAATGTCGTTCAAAATAAAACTAAAGGAGAATTATTTGTTATTGAGCAATACTTGCTATATGTACTAAAGATTAAGTGAAATATCTTCATTTTAGACACTTTCCATTTCACTGATTAAGCCTGCCTGAAGTTTCAGTACTCTAGCGTTCTAGCTAAAAAAAATCTCCTGTTACAAAATTGGTGAGCTTGCCTTCTCTTGTTTCAAGCATTGGGCGAATGCTTGACAGGGGGATATCTGAACCTGAGTTGTAAATAGTGATGTCTTTCGTGGTGAAGACTTTGAAAAAGGAGGGAGGAATATAACAGATCTGGATTTAGACGAACGTCGGTGACCAAGGTAAATGAAGCTCAGTTGGTAGAGCCTCTGTCCAGAGGTACGGAGGTCCCCCTCCCTGTCTGGCTGTTGTATATCTCTCTCTCTCCTGTTACACATGTATTGTAAACTGGAGCTGTTCACTCTTAGATCTTAAACAGTGTTTTATTCTCTCAATGATTTTAGTACATATTTCATTCTGTGTTTAAAGATGAAACAAGCACAAGAAAAAAAACGGTGTGACAGAATTTCTCCAGTGTCAAGAGGGTGACAAAGTTGCATGTGGCAGTTGTGGTAGTAAACAGTCGACTATATACAGAATTGTTTTTCTCTGTAATTTTGTTTTTATAAAGATTTTACCTTTTTGAAATCATTGGTGAAAAAATGTATTTGTCTTGATGCAGATATAGCTATTAACACGAGAGAGAGCTCTGTGGAAATCAGAACACCAGAAACTTTGAAGGTTTATTTTTAATTAGCTTGTTACAGTGTACTATAAATGTCGTCCACAAAAACTTTAAAAGTTGAGCTTGTTACAGTGTACTATAAATGTCGTCTGAGTGTTATTTCGCTAATTAAAAGCACTGAATTATTATCATGATAATTACTGTATTTTTTGACATCACTGAATGCCTTCTTATAATAGATAGAAAATGAGCTAACTTATGCATGCAACTTGAATATTATTGCTGGTGCAAGGAAATGTGAGTGTGCTAATAAGCTAGGTTAGCATTGTTTTTATGAAAGAAAGAAGATTTTAAGGACAATGGTTTTAACTGAGAATGTTGTTTTTAGTCATGTGGTCACTGTAGTGTACTGTTAATATTTTACAATCTCTTGTTAATATCTGTGATGATGCGTACTCAATGCAATGTTAATCTGATTAAGGGCACCTCCTTGTACTCATAGCTATAGTAAGTTTTTATGCACTTTTTATATAAATTTCAACACTTTTACCATAAATGTATTTTTATGTAAATTTGCAAAGAGATGCGGTGCCTGATTCAAGTTGAAATCATGCGTAAATATATATATATAAACTTGTATATAAAGAGTAAATATATATATATATAAACTTGTATATAAAGAGTAAATATATATATATATAAACTTGTATATAAAGAAATGTATATGGTCCCTGTTGTTATCTAAAACCAGGTTTATATTGCACTGAAAATGCTTTTAATTTTTATTTTTTTTATTTTTTTTTACCACAGTTCTGTACGGTTTGATAACATATGTGAATTTAAGAACCATCACCCAAACGGATATAAGATATTAACTCATTCACCCCTTAAGTTTCATGATGAACTATTCCAACCTTTGAATTTGAAGAGTTCAAATGCATCTCCAGGGGTGAATGAGTTAAATTTTAATACCAGTAAGGGTTGATGGTTCTTAAACTCGTATATTTGATAAATTCAGACCCCTGTGCTTTTATTATATTTTTATGACTTCACACCCTTGTGAAGGTTTCTATCATGCTTATTGACTTGTGAGATAAAGTCGCCCTGTCTTGTTGAGAGAAATTAAAGATGTTTTCAGAAACTTGCATCATGCACACTGATATAATGAGGTTACTATCTTCCTCATCTCTGATTGGCTAATAAATTCTTGAAATCACTATTCCTCAATTTTGATAGGCTGGATATTTCTAGAAATCACTACTGTAGTCTATAATTCTAATTATTATATGCATGAAAATTTCTCGCAATCACATTGGTCGGATCATGTACACGTGACCAGTCCTCAAAAACTCATGTAGACTGGTTATCAGGTGAATATCGATATCTAAATATAGCCTATATGGAAATACCCCGGAACCTGTCGTAGCGCATGCACATTTAGACCGGAACGCGATCTGTCAGACGACATTAGAAGATTGCTGCTGGCGAACGTTTCTCCTCCGTTACATCTGAAAATTACCAAAACTTTTCAAGGATAAAGATGCTGTTAAAATAAAAAGGCCATTGAACACGCAGTGCATGTCCTCCATGCTTATCTTAAGAAAAAGAACCTAGATGACGTCTTCGAAAGCTACGATGCTAAACTGTTGAATTCAAACCTGGCTAAATTTTACACGGAGGCTCGCGTAAAAAAATCAGAACCTTCAGTTTTATTTTGTTTTATTTTATTGTTGAAGCATATAATAAAACAGTTATGGGCTTTTGTGCTGGTAAATATGATGTGATATGAACCTTAAAGAGTGATATTGACCTCGGCTTCGCCTCAGTCAATATCACTCTTTAAGGTTCATATCACATCATATTCACCAGCACAAAAGTCCATAATTGTATATTGTGTTTTGAAATCACTGGTCCTCAATACTGATCAGTTAATTATTTCTTGAAATTACTGGTCATAATTCTGATTGATTGAATTCCTTATTTTGATAATTCCTTATTTTGATACCACTCCTAGATTCTGATTGGCAAATAGTTTATGAATATTGTTATTTATATATATTCTAATTGGCTAATGATTTCAGGAAATAAGTGGAAATTATTCATTTAGTAGTTATTCATTTCGAGTCATTGCATTACTTTATTTTTAGATACTGTAAATACACGTTGTAGTAAAATATCCCAGTTGTTGGTCAATGGAATAGTGTTATCATTATCAATTATCACACAAACACATTCCCTTACCAGACAATACACTAGTAGTGATGTACTGTTGTTAATGCTGCATATATATTTACATACAAAGTGCTTTAATAAAATGAACACAAGGCCATGACAAAAATTATTTGTTTCCAGTAATATGATTGAAAATAATATTTTCAGCTATCGAAGTAGATTCTTTTACTATAAAATTCTGAGATTATTTTTATATATAGGTATTAGACATGCAAAGTGCTTGGCAAAATATTAAGAAAATATATTTGGTTAGGCATACAAAATATAGGGTCAGTTACAGGAAACAATATCATGTTTTTTTACTTGGCCTGAAGATAGTACAGCTATGTCTGCAGAATAAAAGCTGTTGTTTCTGTTCCACTCTTAACCAAAAAAGTGGAAAATGTTGTCTTGTGAGGTTAATCTCACTTATTTTGTAATGTTGATTGTATGGGGTATGTCAATGATAAAGAAATAAAAAATAATAAAAAAAAAAACTTTTTTTTTTATTGCGTTGACCTGGCTGAAGGCTTAACGATGATGTGGGGCAAAGATGTGTGCTTGCAGGTCATCAACAGGTTCTAACGTGGACCAGTTACTGTTATAATAAACAAGAGGCCCAGAGGGTGTGACTCAGAAACTAGATCCCTAAGTTTGTGACAAGACCCCAGGATCAATTATAATATCATGACTGCATTCGTCCCTTGATGCCCAGCATTTGTATTTATAGTTTTGGGGTGGGGATCTCAACCGTTTCAAAGTTATGACCTAGGGGTTACTTCTGCAAGGGTGGGGCAGACTCCGGGGTCAATTCTAATATCATGACTTCATTCGTCTCTTTATGCCCAACAATTGTATATATAGTTTTGGGGTGGGGATCTTAATCATTTTGAAGTTATGACCCAGGGGTTAAGTCTCCAAGGGTGGAGCAGACCCCAGAGCCCCTAAGCATATGTGCATTAGTATCTTTATACTCAAAAATTGTATATATGGTTATAGGGTCGAGATCTCGACTGATTCCAAGCTGTGACTCGGAAACTAGGTCCCTAGGGGTTACGCCAGACCCCATGGTCTATTATATATACCCAGCATTTGTATATACAGTTTTGGGGTGGAGATCTCAACTGTTTCAAAGTTATGACCCAAGGGTGGGGCCAAACCCCAGGGCCATCCTGAAAGCATATGTGCATTCTTCTCTTTATACTCAGCAATTGTGTACACTGTTATAGGGTTGGGATCTCAGCCATTTCCAA